TTCCTACCATTTTGTCTGTAATTTGCTAAGTCCCCCCTATTATTATGTTATCCTTCTTTTATTCTTTAAAATAAAAAAAAAAAAAAAAAAAAAAAGAGGCTGAGAGAAATCTGCATGGACTAAGAGTAGGAGTGTCAGAAAACAGAAAGGTAGCTTATCCACTACTGAGGAGCAGAGGAAAAGGGTGGGCAGTCTCTTATTACAAACAATTGTCATTTGACAGGAAACTGAAAAACTTTGGCATTTTTATTCAGACACGTATAAAAATGAAACAAAAAACTTCAGTGGTACAACAGACATTTCCCCCCAGTTCCCATCCGAGAGGACAGAAGTCTGAAGATGGGTCCTCTTCTGACCGACCTGGAAGCTTCTCATTTTTGGGTGAGAATACAGTAGCTCCTAAAAGTGGGTCTTTGGGACCTTTGTGAATGTACTTACAAGGAGTGGTGATCACGACAGCACATCTGAGCTATGACTGACACAAAGACGCCCAGTTATTTTTCCTTCTGACCTCTCCTCCACCTCTACCTGAGATGAGAAGTCTGGGTATACGAGGACATGGCTGTTGGAGTTCAGCTTGATTCAGTGCAAAAACAAGAAATGTCCCTTACACAGGCTCTGACTTACATTAGTTTTTCTTGACAGGTTATAGTAAGAGCATGTGCATTGGAATTGGGAAGATTTTGAATTCTGGATCTGCTGCTTGATTTCTCCAGGCTTAGTTCCCCCGACTCTTGGTCACTTGCTTTCTGCAGTTTGAGTTATTTGTGGCTACTTACAGTCTGAATTTTTTTTGTCTCTTTGGGAAAGGGTCTCGCTGTGCAGTTCAGGCTGGCCTGGAGCCCACCTTGTAGCCCTTGCTGGCTTCAAACTTGCAACAATCCTCCTGCCTCAGCCTCCCAACTGCTGGGATTACAGGCATGTGCCACCACGCCCGGCTAGTCTGAAAATATTAAAAAGGAAAATTCCAGAAATAATTCAGAAGTTTAAGTTGCATTCTATCCAGAATAGCATGATGAAATTGCATGCCATCCCATTCTGTCCCATTCAGGGGAATTAGCCTTTGTCCAGTGTATCCACTTGCCCATGAGTAGCCTTGTCAGGTGCCAGACTGCCGTGGTATCACAGTGCTTGTATCGAAGTACCCTTTCACTTAGTAATGGCCACACTGAGGCCAGAGACTTCGCTCAGTGACACAGCACCTGCCTGGCAAGCGTGAGGTTGTGAGTTCGATTCCTAGTACCAAAAAAAAAAAAAAAAAAATCCAAAAAACCAAACCAAAGTAATCGATCGCCACACAGTGCAAGAGTTGTGGTGCTGGCAGTTCAGACATGTCAAAATCATAAAAGACTTTAAGTGAAAAAGTGATGGTTCTCAATAAAGAAAAAAAAAATCATGTTGAGGTTGCTAAGATCTATGATAAGAACGGATCTGTATGTGAAAATGGAAACAGGTATTAGTCCTAGTTTTGTTGCTGCATTTCAAACTTCAAAAATCACGGACAGTGTGTAAGTACTTCACTGAAGGAAAAGGCATTGTACAGTTCAGTGCTATCCCCGGGGTCAGACACTCACAGGGTATCCTGAACGCCTAGGGGGCCAGGGTGTGTGAAATGGGTCTGCCTCACAAACCTGTACACATTATAAAGGCTTATGTGAGATTATAAGGAGAGATGTAGCATGATGCATGGCTCTTGGTTAAGTGCTCAATTAACAGTAATCAGTATCTACTCCTAACTTCTTTCTTCCACAAAATTTATGCTTTCCAGGGCGTTACAAGTCAGAAGCCAAAATGTGCGTCTCCTTTGCCAGGTTTCCCATGTCTTCCTCTTCTGTAGGACAGCCTGATGGGAAACAAAGGCACACTAGTCCCAACACGTGAGAGAGAGAATGGGCAGATGATCCTTCATATCTCCAGGGAGTTCCCGTGAGGAAGCTGAGGAGAGGGATTAGCCAACCAGACAAAACCTTCTCCGCTCCTGGGGCTGGGAAAGAGAGAAAGTGCGGCTGGCTGTATCCTGTAAGAATTTCATGTTGAAGTGTTTAAAAGCCTCCAAAAGCTGAATGGCACTGTCTCGGCCTGGAGAGATGGGGCTGAGGCCTGTGAGGGAGCGGGAGGCGGAGGAGTCCCCTCTACAGACACTAGCTGCCATTTAATGCTCCCGAGCATCTCAGGGAGCGCGGGTTACGTTCTCTGGGCATTAGCCTTAGGGAAAAGCCTGCTATGCCAGTAGTCAGGGTTATCAAAGGCGGAGTCAGTGGCTTCTAAGCTTCGTAGAGTTTTGAGGCGGGCATAGCGAACATGGGGGGCATTGTGTCCCGGCCCCTGGAACGCTCTCATCTCTTCATACCCTTGTTCGGCCGCTGGGCAGGCCCCCATGGCCGCATAATCCCCCCCTGCACCACTTCCGCGCCGCCGGTTCATGTATTCATAGTCCTCGTCCGGAGTGGTGCCAGCAGCGGGCATGATGGGAACAGGGTGGAGCGGGCAGCTCTGTGTGCTACCCAGAGAGGCGCTGAGGTCTGACCCTACATCCATGTACTCATAGCCCAGCTCCTCCAGGGAGCCGGGCCTGGGGGGCCGCGCCGGGCTGTGCCTTCGCCTCCGGTTCATGTACTCATACTCCTCCTCCTCCTCTTCCTCCTCAGTACCCAGCACAGAGCCGAGGCCCACTGAGGAAAGCGTGCCCTCCCGGGAGGACGAAGTACCTAGGGGTGAGAAGAGAGTACAGGTGTGTGGGGAGTAGCACGGCCACGGGCGAAGGGGCTGAGGGCAAGCCAGAAAAAATGAATAGGGCGGGCTATGATCAGAGGAAAAATAATTAGGAGGAGCTTGGAGAGAGAACTGGAGGAAGATCTGGAGGGAACCCTGCAGGAGTCGGGCACCTTTGAGATGTGTGTCTGGCATGACGTAACCGTTGACGTCCTCTTCCTCTAACCCCGGCGGGGAGAGCGGGGTGACGGGGGTCAGCAGGCTGTGGCGCTGGGAGTGGTAGGCACTGTCTCCGCGTGGCCGTGGGCTCCGGCTCCGGCTCCTGCACATGGACACCTTCTCCTGGAGCTCAGCCTCAGAGCCGGTCACGGGGTCCTCCGATGACTCTGACGCCAGGCGTGCCCGTGGCAGTGGGTGCAGAGAGACGGGGCGGGGGCAGCGCTCGCCATCCCCACCAACTGCACACTCCTAAGGAGGAAAACAGAAAATAGTAATACAGTTGCTTCAATCTCCAGGACTGAGAAAAAAAAGAAAGAAAGAAAGAAAGAGAGACATTGGCTTAGAAGGAGCTTGGGCTGCTCAGTTCCTTTTTCATAGGATGCTGACTAAACCTTAAAGGTTCACTACTATCAAGACCCTCTGTTGCTAGCCGGGTGTGAAGGCACACGCTTGTAATCGCAGCACTCGGGAGGCTGAGGCAGGAGGATCGTTGCGAGTTTGAGACCAGCCTGGGCTACAAAGTGAGCTCAAGGCCAGCCTTAGCTGCATAGTGAGACCCTGTCTCACAGAGACCAAAGAAATACCCGCAATCTCCTACCTCTCACCAACCTACCTGGGAAGCTTCTCCGAGGTTACTTTGGTTCATAGGCATGTATCCAGATGACGGGCTTAAAAGGCTCTGGCTCTAGGATGGAAAAAGTAAGGGAAAGCTTCACATGAAGGGAGAAATCTTTCACAGTACGGGGAAAAGCTACAGTGCGTAGTTAATGTGGGTGTCTCTGCACCAGGGCGCAGGGCAGGGAGTCCCGGACAGTCAGGAGGCGTCTCACCCCACGTGGCCGGGGGAGCGTTCCGGCTGGTAAGCTGAGGGCAGAGCCCAGCGTGGTTGCCAGGCTGTCCTCCTCTGCCTCTAAGTCCGAGTCCAGGTCCAGTTCTGGCTCCAGCTCTACTTCTTCCAGTTCCTTGTCTGTCAGAGCAGAGGGCTCTGCCGCGGGAGTTACTCCAGACCCACTCTCTCTCTGCAGGGGAGGTAACTGTTAGGGTGAATCTCGGTTCCCGCTCAGGCTTCTTTTCTCTAAATGTCCTTGACATCGACGCCCCACTCACCTTTATAACTAGATACCGCGGCGGGTCGCGGGCCATCCTGGTGAACTCATTGGCTAGTTCTTTAAAGGTTGGGCGGATGTTCTCATCAATCATCCAACCTGAAGGTGGGATGAAGAAGACAGCAGGACGGGCGTGAGAGGCATAGCAGAGCTGGGAGGGAAGTCAGTCAGAAGACGGCTGGGGCCCACGGGCAACTCACACTTGACCATGACCATGTAGACATCAATGGTGCAGATCTGAGGCTGTGCCAGCCGCTCGCCCTTCTCCAGCAGGTCTGGTACTTCAGCCAGTCGCAGCCCTGCGTAGGGCTCTGCCCCAAAGGTCATCAGCTCCCAAACGGTCACACCTGCGACGAGAGAAAACGGTCAGTGCAAAAACAGATGGGCGGAGGTGAAAGGGAAAGCGGAGGTGATACAGGGGTCTGCAGACACTAAGTTCCTAGGAGGACGGGACTCAAAAGGCCTTGCGGGGGTCTGGGCCAGTGACGAACCAGAGGGATTCCAACGCACTGACCGTAGCTCCAGACGTCACTTTGGTGCGTGTACTTCCCGAAGTGGATGCTCTCCAGGGCCATCCACTTAATTGGAGTCTGAGGAGTAAAGACGAAGTTGCCACCGTTGATTTCCTCAGACTTCCTTAGCATTTCCAAACCCAAGTTCTCCATCCTCCTTTTCCCTGTTGCTTTCTGAGCTTAAACTTCCGGCTTCTCTAGCTTCCTTCCTTGAATGTGCCAAGTAACAACTGTACACCTCAGAAAGTGCCCTCTAGGGGACGGGGATATAGTTCAGAGGCACAAGCACCTGCCTGGCAAGCACAAGGTCCTGAGTTCGATTCCCAGTACCCTCGCCCGAAAAAAGAGCCCACCAAACACCCCACCCCCACGCTCCCCGCCTAGCCACGTGTCCCCGCACCTTGGCCTCACTGTGTAGCAGCTGCTTGTCATCAGGTGGCAGCAGGTCAGCCACACCAAAGTCTGCCACTTGAACCTGACTGGGCGACTTGAGCAGCACGTTGCGGGCAGCCAGGTTCCTGTGCACCATGCCATGCTCCTCTAGGTAGTACATGCCCTGTGGTGGAGGAAGTAATTTTGGGGTTGGGGCCGTCGGCTGTTGAGATCCAGGGCTCCCCTGCATCCTGAACGCATCTCTCAGAACCTCAGTCTCCCCGGCCCTCCCCCGACTGCCCCCAGCCAAGCAGCGGCGCTAAATTCCCCCGGCTTGGCTCACCTTGGCAATTTGCACTCCCCAGTTGAGCAGCAGTTGTGGCCCCAGCGCCCCCCGGTGTTGTCTCACGTGATCCAGCAGGGAACCCAGAGGCAAGTACTGAGTGACAAGCTGCAGAGATGACCCTGGGCAAAGTCCTAGCAGCCGCACAATGTGGGCGTGGTCTAAGCTGCCAATGGCCAGCATATGCTGTGGAACGCGGGAAGGGTTACCCAGGCAGCAAACAGGCCCGCGTACACTTCGCACCTGGACACCCAGCCCAGGGCTGCCCCCGGCAGCCAAGTCCAGCGGCACGGCTGACGCTGTTACCGTTCGCACAGGGCCGCGCCCTGCAGGGCTGTACCCAGCGCTGCCCTCCCTCCCTGGGGCTCACAGGTCCCCTTCCTGGCTCACATCTGTCACAGCCTGGAAACTCTGCCGTCCACTCTTGTCCTCAATGACTTTAATGCAGACTGGAATCTTGATGGACTCGCCCTCAGGGATCCACACTCCCTGTGAAGTTTGGGGCAGGAGCAGGGTGAGGGGCGTTCACCCCACGTCATCGTGAGCCGCCACCCGTGCTCTTTTCGTACTTGCCTGCCTCCCCACACTGCCTGTGGGTTACTCACTTTGTGCACCGTTCCAAAGACACCTGAGCCAAGCACTTTGAGCTTCCTCAGCTCTGTCTCTTTGAAGATTCTGGCGTAGACTTTGTTAGCCTTCTCGCTGGGATCCAGAGGCTCTAAGCTCTGAAGAACAGATGGAAAAAGATGTACTCAGAAAAGCCCACACCGCATCCCACTCCTACCAGTGCCCCCTAAGCAGATGCCAAGGGCAACAGCACCCAAACAGTTTGGGGCAGGAAGGGCAATTGTCTTGTTTTGATTTGTTTTTTTTGTTTGTTTTTGTCTTTTTGAGACAGGGTCTTGCTGTGCAGTTCAGGCCAACCATGAGCTCACTTTGTAGCCCAGACTGGTCTCGAACTCATAACAATCCTCCTGCCTCAGCCTCCCGTGCACCACCACACCCAGAGATATGTTGTTTTTTTGAGACAGGGTCTTACTGTATAGTTCAGGCTGCCTCTAAACTAACTATATAGCCCAGGCTAGCCTCAAACTCATGGCGGTCCTCCTGCCTCAGCCTCCCGAGTGCTGGGATTATAGACTTGCGCCACCATGCCCGGCTGGGCGATGGTCATTGGTCCTGGATAGCAACACAGGCATGTTGAGGAATGACAGATGGTGAGGACGGAGGGAGCTGTTTTGTGCTCATGCAGTCAGGAGTCGAGTGCCGGCTGTTCCCTTTGACAGCGTAGCAGAAGTGGGGCTGGGGAGACCTGGTCATACTGGCCCCTGGAGCAGCTTTCTGTGCTTTACAAAGCACTTCTGCACGTGTCACTGTCTTTCACCTCTCAGCCATCATGGGAGGACGAATAGTATCTCCTTTGTACAGATGCATAAACCAAGGCACAGAGAAGGAAAGTAACTTCTTCAGAGTCTTAGGGCAGAGCCAGGGATATGGCTGCGCGGCACAAGCGCCTGCCCGGCAAGCGCAAGGTCTTGAGTTCAATTCCCGGTACCAAAAAAACACAAAAAACAAAACACCGAGTCTTATGGCAAATCAGTGCCACACTCAGGACTAGAATTCGTGCCTTCCTTTTCCCTAGCTGGTGCTCTGTCTAGTGGACCACACCGCCTCCCTGCAGAGCCCAATCAGATCTCCAAAGGGAGAGAAGGGGGTGATGGTTACCCCGTCATTTACCCCTGGGTGCAGGTGGCACGGGCGCCTCGCACGGTTAAGCTGAACACTCACCTCACCCCGTTCCAGGTAGCGCCTCATCGCCCTTTTATTCTGAATCCGGCGCCCACGCCAGTAGAGGAAAGTGATGCCCAGGACCAGCAGAATCGCTGTCAAGCCCACTGTCACGGCCAGTGCCAGATGGGTTTTGCTGTGGGAGACAGAGAAGCCCAGCATTGTCCTCGGTTTACACCTCCCTCACAAACACCACCTGTACCTGTGCTGAAGCTGCACTGCAGACCTGGGGCAAGAAGTTACCATCTACATGAGCACTGAAGAGGTTTACTTAAAGCTAGGACCTCTCTGCCTTAGGCTACAAGTTAGCATTAGGAAGAAAAGACCAGAAGCCTAGGTTCTTCTTTCTCTCCTCTCTCCCAGACTGGGTCTCACTATGTAGTTCAGCTGGCCTTGAATTTACCATGTAGCCCAGGCTGGCCTCAAACTCACAGCGATCCTCCTGCCTCAGCCTCCATGCTGAGATTATGGGTGTGAGCCACTATGCCAGGCTAGAAGCCTAGATTCCTGAGTACAGTGATGGTGAACTATATATAGAAAAGGCCAGAATGAACACAGCCATCTTCCCCAACTCGTAACCAGCCCGTCCCTAATTTCTCTCCCAAATATCCCCAGCTTCTAGGACCTCCCATACCTGATCAGTACCAGTGGCTGGCCCAGACAGTCCTGCAGCTGTGGTCCCTTACACCTAGAACAGAAAGTCCCTCCCTCAGACGGATGCTTGGAGAACAGAGGCCCAAGTCCAGCAGCCTCAATGTACAATAACTTTTGTTTCACTTTAAAAGGAAAGAGAAACTGGAAGGGGGGAAA